CTAGTAAGTGACCATTTGGCTCCTATCCACCATGTAACAGGTGGAGGTTGCTGTTAATTAGCTACTTATTTGTACATTGTAACGAAAGTGGAATTGGAGAATTTTCTGTGGTGAGGGGAAAACTTCCTCGTTCGTCCTAAATGTCTTTGACAGTCTAGAACAGTGTTTCTCAACGGGGACGATATCGCCATCATGTGGGCGTTTTTCCATGTTGAGGAGGCGATTAGAAACAATTTATATTTTTTAAAGCGAAAAACAATTTTCTGCGCAATATACTGAAACATTATATTAAAGAATAATTAGATATTTTATTCGTTATATGTACAATAATTATACTAGTTACTAGTCTATTCAATGCAGTACGAATTTGGCGTTAGCCTTGTCCCTCGGCATCGGAATTTTGTAGTGAAGGGACGATACTACGTAACGGTATTAGTGAAGGGGGCGACAATTCGTTAGAGGTTGAGAAACACTGGTCTAAAAGGTCAACTTTCGAAGTGACGCAGTACACTGATGTGTAATAAGGTCTAAATGCAACCTATCTGGAAGGGGAAACTGAAGGAAGAAAAGAAATAATGATAAAAAAAACTTTATAATGGTTTAAGCTTTTAAAACTCCCAAAAAAGTCTAAATCCTCACACAAATGTCAATTAATAATTTTTCAGAAGTTCTGATCAGCATTGAAAAGATTTAGGTGGTTAAATTAAGGGAAATTGATCGTGAGTGTAAATCATATTTAATGTGTGTTATTAACGAAACAAATAATTCAGTTAATTCTACATAATGTCATTAAACATCGTAGATAAATGACCCGCTACATGTAAAATTATATTTCTTAATTTAAATTGAAACACACAATGTTGTGTTTATTTTTGAATTTATAAGAGTATCCATCGTAAATACTCTAGCTAAATCTACACCTACAAAAACACTGTTACTTTGAATGCCTGAAACAGTTAATTCACAACAGAAATTATTGTAATATCTTGAAAATAGTTATAATTAAATATGCTTATACATAAATTCCAAAGCATTATAAATTTGCAACTGCAAGTTAGATCCTATATAAGAATATTAATGTTGTGTGTGTATATTAATTTACATGAATTTCATCTATTTATATATTTTTAGACGATAATAAATAAAAATGATGTCATTTCAATCCTTCACGAAAATGTTGAAGTGACTCAAAATTATTTCAAGATGATTAAAGAACCAATTGAAAAAGTACTTAATGGAACTCACGCCGTGATAGGATCAAGACAGAATATTGAATTGAGAATGACCAACCAGCAAAAAGGAAAGGTCTTCTTCTCAGAAGACATACTTTTTACGAAATTTGAGTTAATGGATATAAACTTAGTCAAAGTGAATTACGTTGAAGAAATCTCTGAAACGTAAGTATAAAAATGAGTTTCTAACTCTTACAATTTTCTAGTGGATAATACCACTGAGCATTAGTAGTTACGGTCTCTCTTTAAAAAGAATCGACTAGCGATCAACCTCTGACCACACATTATTTCAGCTAAACCAATTGTATACGTCTTTATAACTTTAGCGCTTTAGTTTAATGTATCTGGTAAAATGTAGAATTTATTGTATTTATTTTTTCACAAGATGACAGAACATCTTTTCCGTTGCGTTAGTTGATTATGGAGTGCATAAACTGAAGATGATCATAAATTTAACAATTACTATAGCGTGGTATTGCAAAACAAAAACATGAAGCTTCCATAACACTTTAGAATAGCGATGACATATTTAACAAATGAGGTAGAAATTGAAAGTAACTTGCCACAAGTAGGCAATTAATGCAGGGGCGGACTGGCCATGTGGAAAATATGGAAAATTCCACATGGGCCGTATACAATATGGGCCGTATTTTTCTAAATATGTACATAACGTACCGTTTGGTTAAGTTTAATTTGTAAAAATTCATTTATTTTTTTGTTATGTAAGGTAAATTACAATTTTTAGGTATAATACAGGTATATGTGTAGGCCTGTATTATTTTACCCGGCGCTACCCGTGTCCGAAGTTAAATTAGTTCGGCCGATCTGAGTCAAACACTCGATTCGGCCCAAACAGAAAGCATCCTAGGAGAAAAATAATTAAAACTACCTTCTAAACCAGTGTTTCTCAACGGGGCATATCGCCCCCATGTGGGCGTTTTTCCATGTTGAGGGGACGATTAGTAACAATTTATATTTTGGGGGGCGAAAAAAATTTTCTGGGCGATATAGTAAAACATTATATTAAGAATATTTAGATATTTTATTCGTTATATCGTACTGTACAATAATCAAACAAATAACATTATACTAGTGACTAGTCTATTCAATGCAATATGAATTTGGTGTTAGCCTTGACTCTTGGCATAGGAATTTTGAAGCTTGCAGTGGGGATTCACAGTAAATAATGTTTAATTTTAATTTTGTTAATTATATCAAAATCTAATATGTATTCTGAGTAAATAAATGTTTATTTGATAATTATATACTTTGTAAAAAATTAAACTAATAAACCCAACAAAATTGTTTTCAAAGTGAAGGAGGCGATACCACGTAACGGTTTTATTGAAGGGGACAATGATTCCTTAGAGGCTGAGAAACACTGGTCTAGATCTTCCTTTCCCGCAAAAACACGTACACACATACATTGGGACAAACTTCCAAAAAGGTAATATTTCTCCCTTTGTCATGTTCTTTTTGTTCTCCAGAAACATTGCCTGACCAATTCAGACCTTGTCCCCTGTCATGACATTGCAATAGTGACCAACAGCACTATAAGGGTGCACTGATTGGTGGTATGAAAATAAAGGAGAAGTATATATAGCTAAACACCAACCAAATGTCGAAATTCTATTGGGCTAGTTTAAGGTTAATTACTAAATGAATTATGTAACCAATTTGGCTCTAGAGGTAAGCGTTAGGCACCATCTCATATTAACATTAATAATTATAAACAAATTAATTAATTTAAATAATTTAGAAGTGCTGGGAGAAAAGCATATACAGTAGAGTGTCGATTATCCGAATCAATTGGGGACTGGGGTTGTTCAGAAGATCAATGTTTCGGATAACCAATTATGCACGAAAAATATATTAATTTATCCCATCTTGACATTTTTCTCCGTTACATGTTGCTTTGCGTTGAATTTTCGTCAATGTTAAGCCTAACGAAACTATTGTATCGTTAAAAATTATTTTTTTATTTTGTATGAACAAAATAAATATATTGAAAAATATAAAAACAATAAAAAATTATACTTCAGAAGTTAATTTAGTATCAAAAACGTAAAATATTTGAGTAGCCGAAGACATAGCCAAAGATTGCAGCGCCACAGCAGTGGCGAAAATTTAAATTTGCCGACTGGAATTCTTTCGGATGATTGACTTTCGGATAATCGATGCTCTACTGTATTACATATATTATCTTATGTGGAAGAAACCTTTAGAACCAAATGGCATTCTTACTGGTTATAAAATATATTATGAAGAAGGTTTTCTCCCAGCGGTTCTAAATTATTTAAATTAATTAATTAATTTATAATTATTAATGTTAATATGAGATGGCGCCTAACGCTTACCTCTAGAGCCAAATTGGTTACGCAATTCATTTAGTAATTAGCCTTAAACTAGCCCGATAGAATTTTGGCATTTGGTTGGTGTTTAACTATATTATGTATCGTGTTTAGCGATGTTTGTATTGAAGTATATGTAACTAACCAGGGAATAAATGGAAAGACATACACAGAAAGGGAGAAAAAAAATAAAATATGGTATAGTAATACTACAATTACAATAAAAATTTATGAAATTAAAATTTAAATTCAAATTTAAAATATTATTTAAAAAGTAAGATCTTGTTAGCAAAAAGTAGAACTTTTTGCTAACTCATTAAATTTTAATCATATTTGGTCATTAAAGTTAAATGATGTTTATTATTTATGCCAATAATATATTTTATTATAATTAACACTTGTCAGAAATTAATTTTGTAACTTATATTGCTATAATCTGACTGTCAAATATTTTTTTAATATTTTTTAAGTCTTCAATTGGGATGAAGAACAGTGATCTAAGCAGTGATGTAGAAAATATGAGTTATGAGAAATTATTGAGGATCTTGAAATATTAAGATTAAATGTTTTGCTTTCATCAGATCTAACTAGTTTAGTTTTAATTTAATAACAGTATGTTTCAATATTAAATGTGTAGAAGTAATCACAAAAGTGTCTTCTTTTAAATCTTAACATCCTTTTCACACTTTGGGAACTAACTGTCTTTACGGTAGAGTTGACCTTCCTTCTTAGGCTACTTTTTCACCTCAATGATTGGAAAGGATGTTAAGATTTAAAATGAGACACTTTTATGATTACTGCATTTAATATTGTAATATATGAATTTTGTCCTGGCATGTTTTAATTATATTTTTCTAATTGTAAACAGTATGTTTCATTTAATTTTAAATGGTTTCATATCAATTAAATGTAGATAAATGTGTGGAAAGATTGAAGGATCATATAATATGGTGTGTTTCCAAAAGTGAAAATTATGATTTAAAAAGATTTATATACCACAGATCTTGGAGTTCAACCAATCTTATTGGTTGAATTCCAAGATCAACATTGTTTAAGCTTTACAGAGAGAATATTTTATTATATATAAATAAGATTTATAAGTTTGATAATTTAAGAATTCTTTGAATATGATTGTTTTAAAAGTCATTGTAAAGAGTTTTTGTTCTGAGATATATAAATAATGTGTTTTTCTGTTTCAGTAAATGGAACTGAATTAGGTCAACAAATAGAGCGAACTCCTCCAATTGATGATCCTAGAGAAGCTAGAGCTAAATTAGCAGGACTTCATGCTGATACAAAATATCGTGTTACAATTCAAGCTACAACAAGTAAAGGAGCTGGTGTTCCATATTTTATTGAAACAAAAACAAACAAAAAAGCAGAAAGCGGTGAGTTTGACAAAGTATGTTACTTAAAAGCTGTTTCCACTGTATAATGTCAAAATTGACTATAATCATTAAGCAGGATGCTTTTTTCTATAATAAACAATATAAGTGTATTTAATATGGACTGGATGTTATAATTTATTGTATAGTATGATATATTTCTCATAAGAAACAATATTGTTAATTTTTATATGTTTGTAATAATCACTAGGTTTTTTTAAGATATCTAATTTGATTTCAGACATATAACTTTTGATTTTTTCCCCCTTTTTTTGAATATAAATGTTAGTATATTCAGTGGCGTAGCTACGGGGTGCAGTATGCACTGGGCCCCTGGAAAGCAATAGGCCCACGGGTGCTTCAAAATTACAGGAAAAAAAGAACCGAAAAATTTTTCACGGCACTCAGAACAAAGCAAAATTTGGCATTTGGCTGCTCAAGCTGCTGGGGCCCCTATTACACAGGAAAATATCAACTTAACTCTAATCTAGTTATACACTATATAAACCACTACACAAAAATATTTTAGTCCATTTACAGGGGTCTAATCTGGTTCTGCACCGGGCCCAGAGAACCCTAGCTACGCCACTGAATGTATTTGATTATAGATATGTAAATATTTAAAATAAGTTTATTGTAAAAAGATCATATATGGATAGATGCTGTCTAACAAAGTCAAAATTTAATATAACAATATTATAATTCTTTTACAGTAGAGTGTCGTTTATCCGAATCAATTGGGGACTGTGGTTGTTCAGATAACTTATTTTTTGGATAACCAATTATGTACGAAAAAATATATTAATTTATCCCGTGTTGAAATTTTTCTTCGTTGCATGTCGCTTTGCATTGAATTTTCGTCGATGTTAAGCCTAACGAAGACTATTGTATCGTTAAAAATTATTTTTTTATTTTGTACGAACAAAATAAATATATTGAAAAATATAAAAACAATAAAAAATTATACTTCAGAAGTTAATTTAGTATCAAAAACGTAAAATATTTGAGTAGCCNAAAAAATTAGTAAACAGTTTAAAAGTTTTGCGATTAATTCAATTAATTTGTATTCATTAAATTATTTAAATATATTAACTATATTAAGTGAGGGATTACTGTAAGTAAAATCTATGAGGATAACTTTAATTATTGTAAAGAAATTTTTAGATAAAGAATAAATTTTATTTAAATTGGAAATTAAATTACTATTCCAGTTTATGAAATTAATAACCCAAACAAACAACTAAAAAAATAAAAACATTTTTTATTTCTAAATTTAAAAGTAATTGTGTAAATAGAAAGTGTTTATAGATAGAAAATTGATTTCTTTCAGAATAAACCATGTAAAATTCAAAGTTGGAAAAGACAACTCCATGAATATAAACATTAGAAAGAAACTTGAAATAGTTAAAGAAGTCAGGATATTTATTTGGATTAAGCACTTTCAGAATTCTGATTTTTCTTAACTAATGCCATTTTAATGGGGGGTAGTACCAATTAGTGTACATAGAATTTGTCTTCCAGCAGACTCTCTCTCAAAAAGCTTATCTCATCCAAGTGTCTAAGCAGTCTTATTATAGCAAAAATATGATTTTATCATGAAACTAAAAGCAGATTCCAAAAGATGATGCAGATCTTAGGCAGTCTGTACTCAGGCTTTCCCTATCAATTCTTCAGCAACCAGTCAAATGGCTGCTAGGTGGAGAGATATAACAATTGGCCCTGGAAAGAAGACCTTGCAATAATGCCTTTGATTCCTCAGTGGATGCTTTACTCAAGAAACTCAGAACTTGGTGAGATAAAACAGTCTTATCATCTCACTAGTAGACAAAGAGAAAATACCTATAATTATCATTAGAGAAAAATATCTTAAACTTCTCCATACACATCTTGAGATCAAAACCAATGAAATGACACAAGATCTTACTTGATACTTTTGACTAAAATCCAGGCATTATGAATTAACAAGATTCCAGGAGTTGTACTTCAGGATTCCAGAAAGACAGGTGTCTCCAAGGCTCTTTGGTTACCCTAAAACTCACAAAGGAGCATGGTGTTTTGCTTATTGTTTTTTATTTATTGATCTTATAGGCCAATAATGTTCCTCTAAAATAGGGTTGGAAGAGAGATTGGCCCACATCATCAGAACACAACTAAAACAAAACCTACATGTTATCAATGATTTGTATTATATATTACAAGACATCAGACAGTTGAACCCTCCAAATATAGACTTCTGACTAATTTTAGATTATAAAAGTCTTTATCTTCTCTCTCAAGTTGCACCTATTATACACTTTCCTGAAGGATTATTGATACAAGGTTGTATTAGAATATGTTTATATGATATAGTGTACTCATCCTATTTTAAGTTCAATGACAGGTGTTACATATAGTCTAGAGAAGTGCTGATTGCATCCCTAGACTATATATTGGTAATTTAAAAATATCTTTTAATTTGTTAAAGAAATGTTTGAATAAAAAATGTTGATCAGTTAAATTCAAAAAGTTATGTACAAACTGTTGTTCTATGTACAAAGTTGCAAAACATTGAATTTTATAATTAAAAGATGGGATTAAAAATCCCAGAAAGTGCTTAATCCAAATAAATATCCAGACACTTCTAACCTTTTCAAGTTTCATCTGATGTTTATAAATCATGTGCTCTCAACATGCGAATTACATTCTGAAATAGATTATTCAGTTATGGATCTTTTAAATTACAATAAATTATTCTATGAAAAAATTTATTAATTGTAATATTAATTACAGAATTAATTATAATACCATTAAATTCAAATACAGTAACTCCTTGGTTAGCATGTTTCTTGAATTAACATGGTTTATAAATTGATAAGGTTTAAATAATGCAGGTAAAAATTCAATTAGTGTGTTATTATTTTTGAGAGCAGATTATTATTTTTAAGCTACTAGTGTACATTTAGCAAACAAATTGGATGACAGTACACATAAAACAAACAAGAGTGTCATCTGGCTCAATTTATGGTGAAATTTCTCAAATTGCAATGTGAGAAATTACTTGGATGTAGAAAAAATTAATTGGCATGGTCAAACACTTTGCTTGAATTTGATGAAATTGTTGTCTTTTGATTAATTTTTTATAATGAAGGCCTTCACCAATAATTTTGTGATAAACATATTGGTATTTATAAATCATTAGATTAACCTGTTCAAGGTCTAGTTTTACGATGCTTGCCAGTAGCCACAGGCCAAGTTCATTTTTAATTTAAGCATTCTCCGCTTGTCATTTAGAAAAATCAATTTTCTTAGGTTTTTTTATGAATGAAAGTAGACCAATCTTTTAATATACACTATTTAATATGTAAAAATGTTTGCACTCTTGTAGCTTTTCTTTCTGTATATTGATTATATGTGTGATGTTTATATGGTACAGTAATACCCCGAATTTACGCGATAGGTGGGACCGAGCGGTAACCGTGTAAGTCGAATTCGCGTAAGTTGGGGTTTAATTTCGCATATAAATACATACAAATAATTTTTAATTGGGGCCGGAGACTAAAGAAAACAATAATTTAGAAAAAAATGTTTAATAAAATCTTAGATAATACATATGTATAACAAATTAGGCCTATATTATTTTACAATTTTTCACATTTACTTGATTATTACGCCATAATTTTAACATTGTTTCCATCTCAGCGATAATACTGTGACGTTTACGAATGATGCTTGAATTTAAAGATTGAGCATTTTTCACAGCTTCGAGAATTTTTTCTTTGCCTTTTATAATTGTTCTGACCGACAATTCCGGTAGATCAAACTTCTTTGCCAATTCACAAATTTTCATTTTTGTATCGAAGTCTTTAATAATGGGTACGTTCGTAAAGTCAAATGAGTTAAACGCGTTAGTAATGAATCGTTTGAAAAGTCTAACGAAATAGGAATAACGATGACGTCATTCTCGTTTAACTCGTTCGACTTTACGAACATACCCAATGTTAACTTTACATTCCAAAGATAAAGGTTTTCTTTTCTTGTTTGATGCAGAAGAATTAGTTCTACTTCGTTTGGATGACAAAGTAGAGTCTCTCAAGTCTCCATAGATATAACAAACACAGAAATAAATAACACAAAATAAATTGTAGCTATGTGTGGATTCCGCACAACACATCCGAACATGTAATAGTGTGGGGGAGTGAGTAATCAAGGGTCGCGTGGCGCTCAAACAAAAGATGAATCAACGAGATTTAAAAATCGTGTAACTCCGGGTTTTCGTAAGTCAGGGTATTACTTTATTTCAAAAAAATTAGTAAACAGTTTAAAAGTTTTGCGATTAATTCAATTAATTTGTATTCATTAAATTATTTAAATATATTAACTATATTAAGTGAGGGATTACTGTAAGTAAAATCTATGAGGATAACTTTAATTATTGTAAAGAAATTTTTAGATAAAGAATAAATTTTATTTAAATTGGAAATTAAATTAATTACTTTTTATCTAATACATTGTTTTTTGTTAATATTAAAACTTTTATATCTTTTGTGAAGGTTAGTAGTTTATTATTATTTAATAACAATAAACTAAAATAAATATCTTAATAGCACCTGATGTTCCTGACTTGGTCTGGTCTCGGTTGCCTGATGTTGGAGGAAAAGCAGGCATTCGAGTTACATGGGTTCCTGCAGTAGATGGTCATCCTGGAAGTCACTTTTTTGTTCAGTATAAGAAGAAAGGTATATTTTCAATTTAAACTATAATGATTATATAAGAACATTTTCTGAATTAAATAAATATTTCCATCTTTTATAAAACAAGTAATAGTTTGATTTCATTAAAAGTTAATGTAACATTGTTTGATCATTTTTTAAATGAAAAATATGATAGTTATTTTTAGAAGAAAATATTATATATTTTACAGGATTATTGTGAAGTTTATTATTTGCTAAATTATAGTCTAGATGAATTATGAATAATGATAGTATTTATAATTTCATTTGAGCTGTTGTTCATTAAGTTAGACAAAATATTAGCAGCTTCCTAATTTAAATTTTCAGGTGCCATCAAATGTGCTAATGATGTATAAACAGTATTATGAATAATACAAAATTTTCCTGTGTAGATGAATGGCCTTGGATCCCTGAAAAATGAGAAAATTCATCTGTTTTGCATTTTGTTTTAAATTTTAAATTTGAAGTTTTGTTTTTTTGTTTTTTTTGTCTTTTTTTTTAATTTTCAGTTCTGAAAGAATATTTTATAAGATTTGTCAATTTAATTAATAAACAAACTGATACAAATGAAGAAGACAAATTCAAATAATCCAATCATGGCTTAAAAATTTATAATATAAATTTTTTCTTTTGTATTTTTAATCTTGAAGATCATTTACATATGAATATTTATGCTTAATAAGTAATAAGTGAAATTTAAATATTACAGTAATTAAACTATTATAGTAAGAAAAACATTAAAATCCAGCAATGTTTTATTATGAGAAAACATTTTTTGCAACCATTAGATTCTAGAAATGGAATGAATGAATGAAAATGACAAAAATATTTGTTCTTAATAAAATATTATTGAATTTTGTTGTTATAGCTATTATGTATGTCTAGTTAACAGTTATTATTTTTATTAATTACATTACTGTATACATTTTCTATGGTTTCTTTTAAAATTTTAGTATTTTTTAAATAATTCAACTTAATTTTCTAAATTATCATTTAAAAGTTTCACACATCAAATTAATAAGTATATTTTATTTTTTAAACCTAAAAAATTATCATTGAATGTAGTTTTTGTTTACAGCTAAAACTATTAATAGGTTTTATAATTTATTAATGCTATAATTTACATATAGTTATTGTTTATTGACAGTTATGAAAAACTTTAATCAACAACTCTCTAGAATACATACATAACATACCAATATGAGTACATTTGAAATTAAGAAATATTTACTAACATTTTCATCCATTCAGATGTATAACACAGAACAAAATTGGCTACATTAAAATCGAACATGTTTTTATGAATGATTTACAAGTTCAATTTAAAATTATTTCTGGAACAAAGTATGTCTACAGTTTAAAATTATTTTTAATATTCATTATAAAATGATTTAAAATTATTTTCCAAACAAATTACATATTTAGTTTTAAAATATTTTTGAATAACTTACAAAATGCATTTAAATTATTTCCCCCAAAAATTATGTATTTAGTTTAGGATAATTTTTGTAATAACCTGTAAAAGGAGGTAAAATAATTCTCTGAACAATTATTTTCACACAAATAACTAATTTAATTTAAATTGTATCTGCTTGGCCTAGTGAGATGTATATGAGAAAAGTTGACGAAAGTTCAAAGAAAACATGCAAAACTGTCCATTCTTTGAAATTAATTCCTACTCCATTCTTAAGTGTCCTATAGATTTCAATTGATTCCAAGTATTTATAAACATGAAAACATTAGTAAATATTTCTTAATTTCAAGTGTGCTGGTATTGGTATGTTGTGTATATGATAAATTTAATTTGATATTGGAAATTGTATGATATTATTATTTGATTATGTGTATTTAAATGATTAATGACTAATAAATGATATTAAAATTTGTAGGTGATACACAATGGGAAAGTACTGCAATTGAAGAAAATCAAGACTCGGTGACTATACATGGATTAGAATTAGGATCTTTATATGAATTAAAAGTAATTGCTGTAGATGGAGGCTTTCAAACTGCTAGCAAAATAGAAGAAATTGAAACTGGAGGACTTGGTAAATTTTATTTAAAATACTTCTGAATAGAATATGTATAGATATACTAATAATATAGATTTTCATTATTATGAATATTAATGATTTTATAATAGGATAAACAGGAAATTTTATTTTAATGGATGAAACAAAATCAGCTTCCAATTTCTGCCAAGAAAATTGGAATTGATGTATTGATGAAGCTTCTAATATCACTGTTTAAGAATTATATTGTTAGAAACTTTAAAGAAATTGCATTTTTTATATGAATAAATGTATTTTTTATATTCATCTATAATTAAGGAGAATTATAATTATTTTGTCAACATATTTTATCCATTTTTTTGTAATAATCTGAATAATATACTGCAAAAGTTATCACTAAAATTTATTTTTATATTGTAATAAATAATAAATTGACAACTTTTTATTAATTTCATTATAAAAAGTATATAGCAATAGTTATACATAATATTCATTTTTTTGGAAATAATTTAGAACTGTATTATGTAAATTTTATAAAATATACTGGTAGTGTGAATGAAGTTATAGAAATGAAATCATAACAGTTCTATATGAATATTGTATTATGCCATTTTATTATAATTATTCCAAATCATGAAGAAAGATTTGAGAACAAAATTATTTTAATATGAAAATTTTATGACTAAAACTGATTTTATTTTAGTAATATTTAACATTTTAAGTAAAATAAAAATTCAAGTATGTAATTTCAACAGTTTCCATACTTTTAAAATTGACATCAGGTTAACAGAATTTGGTTTTTAATGAAGTTTTGTTTTTCCTGTCATTTCTAGCCATAACATAACATAAAATAAAAAATGCTTATTTTCTTCTATTTAATGCAAAAATTTATTTGAAGAACTATGATATGCATATTTTTGTTGTGTAATATTCTGCATTTTCATTAAGGCAAAATAGAATATATATTGTGCTGATTCAAAAAATAAAACTAATGCCATTTTTTTTTTTACAAGAAAGCTATGAAATATTACAGTACTGGACGAAATATCTGGCAAGCTTAGAACTGGAAGTGGTCTAGATTTCTAGATTTTCTGGACATAGGCTAAATATATACTTAAAATTTAATAAAGAATGGAAAGTAAATAATGAAACTGTTTTTAACACACCATATATCAGCAGTCACACTGGAAATGGTATCATGCAATATATACATCATGAAAATCAAAACATAATGGCCATGTGGCAAACTACATAAAACTACAGCTGTACTATATAGCTTGTCAAATTCAAAACTTGCCAGTTTAAAAAAAAAAAAAAAAATGCCAGTTATCTGGTAATTCTGGATTTCTGGAAGCTAGATATTTGATCCAGTACTATATATGACAGTTATTTGTCTTTTTACTGATGAAATTCTATGAGGATTTTTAAATTTTATATTTTTAAATCATTATATGTAAATTTAGGATATTATTGAATTTCACGTGAATCTGCTTTACTGTTATTCCAAATTGTATGAAAAAAATTTTTAAAAAGTATCATTATTTAAAAAAAATAAAATAAAATAAAAGCTCTCCCAGGTTAGATTTTTGCTGTGAGAATTAGGCAAAATTTTCACTCAACATAAAGAGTAATATTTATAAATTATTTTAAATTCTTTTCAGTCTACATGAATTTAAAATATTTTTTTGCTTATCTGTCAAGAGTTTGACCAAATGTTAAGGAATGGAATTTGACATATTTAAGTCAAACCAGTCAGGAAAATTATTGTAGAAGATTGATGCATTTATTGTCCTGATTAGCTAGCCATCTAGCTAGTGATAGTAAATAAACAAGCTACCTTTTTTACTTTATGGCAATCTGGAAAAAAATGACCTCCCAGAATTTTACATTTTTGGGCTCAGGACACCTTGAAACATTGAGAAATGCAAAACAATTCAGGGGTAATTTCTGTATGTATGGATGTTAGTGTGTGAGGGGTGCACGATTTTGTTCACCATGTTTGAAGCTTAATACTCCTGTGCTTTTTGTTGAAAATTTTTGAAATTTTGCATGGAGGTTTGTTTATTAGGGGGTTTATGCTATTAAATTTTGATGATTAAAGGTCGAAGGAATGGGGAGATAGTAAGGATTGTGTGTATCTCCAGTAGGGTCGGACTTAATGATGATTTTACTCGTTATTAGCATTTAACTATTATAAAATGGCAAAAGGCTTAATTTTGAGAGTAGGGATGTGTTTTATAAAAAATTGTAAAAGTATAAAAAATTTTAAAAATAAAATGTGATAACAAATGGTACCACCAAAATTTAAAAAATGTTACCATGAAAGTTGAGCAATTCATTGCTTGTTTTTTTTATTATTTATTTTTATCATCATTATTATATTATAATTATGAAATAGAAAATAATTAAATTCATGTCATACTCAACAGAAAATATACAAATACATTACATATTTTTTTTTAATGTTTAAAAGTAATAACATTTCAGACAAATAAAAGAAAAACTTGGTGGTTATTCCATGTATTTTCTCTACTAATATAAAAACAAGTAAAATTTTAATAGGTGTTGATCTTTTATTTTTGACTATTCAACAAAAGTACTTATAAATCTTTTGTAATTAGAGTACTTCTAAAATATAGCCATAACTTTCTAGAGAATATGTTAATTAAAAAATAATAATGTTTCATTTATATAATAATTCAAATAATAATAATTCATTTATATGAAATTTTGCTCATGATCATCATGAGCAAAATTTCATATAAATGAATATTTGATAATACTTGACATCTTTAAATATAAAAAAAAATCCCTTTAAATGGTTTATTAAACAGTTAGAAATATTTTTAGATGGCAAATTAGAATTCAATTTGTGAACCAATTTAAAAATTGTGCAAAGAAGCAAATAAGACTATATTGAAATATAATGCTAAATTTTTTTGACATTTTTTTTATCGATTTAATAAAAATAGTGTTTATATTATAATTATTTTAGCTTTTTATGAAAAATTTTTAAATTATAAAACTTAGTTTTCCTAAAGTTTATTTGAAAGATTTTACTTCATTTTTAATACATTTATTGGTTGAAAAATTTAAAATATATAACAAATATAATAATTAATATTTTCATATTCTTATAAAATTAATTTTAGATGTTTTCCTAGTTTTTGACATTTACATTTAGCAAACATAGTTGATATATCTATTTTATTTGAATAATCTGCAATGGCTTTAAAACTGGCTAAAAGCTTTAGCTTCTCTATTCACATAACTAGGAATAAATTAGTATATTTATTAAATCAATATGACATTTGAAAAATAATTATTAATAGGGAGTGATAATTTAATATGCATTTTGTGTAAAATCCTACAGGAATTTACTTTGAACATAAGAATTCGAAAGACAAATTAGATTGGGAAAGATGGTATTGTGGGATCTGCGAATATCTGAGGTATGATATCCGCAGAGGTGAATGAGAAATGATTGCCACAAAAAGGAGGAGACCAGTACTATATATTACTTAACAAACTTTATGCACCAAATATATATTTATAATCGAATCACAATACGATAGGTCGGCTTAAGCCTGGCACGTGGCGGCTTACACAAAGCACAAAGGGTCTACACAAGACAATCGAAGGACACACCTTCACTGTTGCACGCCAGGAACCAGAATGAATGGTTTCTGGTTCCCCACTATATATAACTCCTCCACCAATGTCACCGTGCTGCCACACAAAAATCGCCCAAAACACAAATAAAACCGCGCGTACAGCAATCGCGACGATCGTTTACATTAATTACATTAATAAAATATATACATATATACACAAAGATGATTATAGGTAAAAGAAAAAACAAATTTTTTTTTTTTTTTTTACAACAGAGACCGACAATATACACGCGGATGACACATATACCCCCCCAAAGTAAACAAAATTTTTTCTTTCACATTTTTCATTTAATAACCACGGTTCAGGGTGACGTAATCAACCCTGCACCGTCTGAGGTTATAGAGGATATCCTGTTGATTAGCCATGTCATCTTGCCTTCTATCTGTCCGTGCGTCACCTGGGGGGCTCGGGGTCTGGGGTGCATGAGGAATTGGTCTACTATGTAACCCCCTATAAGGTTGGGATTGCCAATGATCAGCTTCCTCTTCATCATCTTCACCTACTCCCTTGACCTTGGTTCTTTGATTATCCCCCTTGTATCTTTTAGTCTTATTTTGCTGCCCATAAAAGGGTTTAAGGCAATCAATGTGTATGGTTTGTCCATCCTTTAGCTTCTGGTCCCTCACCTTGACCACTACATCACTAAGAATGCTTTCTACCCGGAAGGGACCAGTATACCATGTGGAGAATTTTTTATGCATGGCTTTTGAGGATTTCTTGATCCATCATCAAATCCTCAACCCTGAATTTCTATAACTTCCGGCTTCTGTTCCAATACTCTCTCTTCTTGGCCAATTGGTCCTTATTGAACATGTCTGCTGCCTTTCGGCATACCCGAAGTTTGTCGACTAACCTCACATGATAGTCGAGAGCACTCCTGCCACTTTGACCTNACAAGACTCACAAAAATATCAAGTCAACTCTTGATTATCTAGAAATGGAAATTAATTAATTGAATTATTTCAATTATTTTACATCTATTTAATTTAATTACATTTAAAATAATAAATGTTATTTACAATTCACATTTTGTATAAAGATCCAAACAAATATTTCTTATATTGAATTTGATAAAAATTTAAGATGGTAACAAATTCTAATATATCTACTTTGTAAATATTCATAATTTAGATTGTAAATCTTATTAGTACATTTTTAATAGAGAATATCAAATATCAAAAATCAGTTAATTGTGAGATATTTTAATATTATCGTTTTATGGATTGTTAAAACTGATTTGAGATAACATTTGTTATTCATGATTCAGTTGCTTCATTAGAAATGATTAAATTACAAATAACAACATGCAGTAGTTATAAACAAGTTTTAATTATTGTTAAAATGTAGCTCTGTTAACTGTGTATGGCTATATGACAATGATAGTTTGTGTTGTCCACACTTTATTTGCAACATTTATTAATATTTTATTTATTTCATATGTTATTGATGATGATATTAACATAAGATTTAAAATTAAATTTTTGTATTAAATATTATAACTCATCTCCAAAAGACTAAATATTTAGTATTTGTTATAAAACTTTTTGTTTGGTTTTGGATAATTATCTAAAAATGAAAGTAATATGGAATGTTCCTAAACATTTATATTGATATTTCTACTTAAATCATTTCATAATTTAAAATTGTAGTACTTTCATTTTATTTATTTAGAAATGTGTATCAATAGTGAGTACCTTTTTTTGAAAATTATTATTAGCAAGCAACTTTTGGTCTTTCTTGTATATCTGGTTAAATTATCTATCAACATTTAAATACACTATGTATGTATTTATATATACTTATAAATTGATAGATGATGTATACTGTTTCATTATGTTTATTTTCTGTTTTGATATAAAATGTATTAAGAGTGTGAAATTACAATGTTAATTTAGCTTTATCATCATTACCAATTATTTCAGCCTAGTATGACAAATTTATTCAAGAAACTAAACAAAAACAATAGCAGTCAGAAAATCAGCATAATAAACTTCAGACAAATTCTAATGAAAAATATATAATATAAACATTTTTCAGATAAAATGTGAAATGATTATATTCTTCTACTAATTTAGAAATTTATACCAGGATTCATTTACAGTGATTGGCCATTTGTTATGTAGGTGGGCCATTTAGAAAATTTTGTAATAGACATTAAAAAAACAAACTCTGAACATACTTTTTTAATATTATTTTATTAATGTATTAATGTTACAGACAAACTATCTACTAAAAACTAATAATAGTTAACAGATTGACATTTATCATACATATTTTATGCTTTTAATATAGAATTACAATAATTTCAGTTTTAGATTAATTAATTAATTAAATGATATTAATTTGTCTGTCTATTTTTGCTTCATAGACCACATCAGAATACAGGATGTGAATTGCATGTGGTCCANGATTACTGTAAGTAAAATCTATGAGGATAACTTTAATTATTGTAAAGAAATTTTTAGATAAAGAATAAATTTTATTTAAATTGGAAATTAAATTAATTACTTTTTATCTAATACATTGTTTTTTGTTAATATTAAAACTTTTATATCTTTTGTGAAGGTTAGTAGTTTATTATTATTTAATAACAATAAACTAAAATAAATATCTTAATAGCACCTGATGTTCCTGACTTGGTCTGGTCTCGGTTGCCTGATGTTGGAGGAAAAGCAGGCATTCGAGTTACATGGGTTCCTGCAGTAGATGGTCATCCTGGAAGTCACTTTTTTGTTCAGTATAAGAAGAAAGGTATATTTTCAATTTAAACTATAATGATTATATAAGAACATTTTCTGAATTAAATAAATATTTCCATCTTTTATAAAACAAGTAATAGTTTGATTTCATTAAAAGTTAATGTAACATTGTTTGATCATTTTTTAAATGAAAAATATGATAGTTATTTTTAGAAGAAAATATTATATATTTTACAGGATTATTGTGAAGTTTATTATTTGCTAAATTATAGTCTAGATGAATTATGAATAATGATAGTATTTATAATTTCATTTGAGCTGTTGTTCATTAAGTTAGACAAAATATTAGCAGCTTCCTAATTTAAATTTTCAGGTGCCATCAAATGTGCTAATGATGTATAAACAGTATTATGAATAATACAAAATTTTCCTGTGTAGATGAATGGCCTTGGATCCCTGAAAAATGAGAAAATTCATCTGTTTTGCATTTTGTTTTAAATTTTAAATTTGAAGTTTTGTTTTTTTGTTTTTTTTGTCTTTTTTTTTAATTTTCAGTTCTGAAAGAATATTTTATAAGATTTGTCAATTTAATTAATAAACAAACTGATACAAATGAAGAAGACAAATTCAAATAATCCAATCATGGCTTAAAAATTTATAATATAAATTTTTTCTTTTGTATTTTTAATCTTGAAGATCATTTACATATGAATATTTATGCTTAATAAGTAATAAGTGAAATTTAAATATTACAGTAATTAAACTATTATAGTAAGAAAAACATTAAAATCCAGCAATGTTTTATTATGAGAAAACATTTTTTGCAACCATTAGATTCTAGAAATGGAATGAATGAATGAAAATGACAAAAATATTTGTTCTTAATAAAATATTATTGAATTTTGTTGTTATAGCTATTATGTATGTCTAGTTAACAGTTATTATTTTTATTAATTACATTACTGTATACATTTTCTATGGTTTCTTTTAAAATTTTAGTATTTTTTAAATAATTCAACTTAATTTTCTAAATTATCATTTAAAAGTTTCACACATCAAATTAATAAGTATATTTTATTTTTTAAACCTAAAAAATTATCATTGAATGTAGTTTTTGTTTACAGCTAAAACTATTAATAGGTTTTATAATTTATTAATGCTATAATTTACATATAGTTATTGTTTATTGACAGTTATGAAAAACTTTAATCAACAACTCTCTAGAATACATACATAACATACCAATATGAGTACATTTGAAATTAAGAAATATTTACTAACATTTTCATCCATTCAGATGTATAACACAGAACAAAATTGGCTACATTAAAATCGAACATGTTTTTATGAATGATTTACAAGTTCAATTTAAAATTATTTCTGGAACAAAGTATGTCTACAGTTTAAAATTATTTTTAATATTCATTATAAAATGATTTAAAATTATTTTCCAAACAAATTACATATTTAGTTTTAAAATATTTTTGAATAACTTACAAAATGCATTTAAATTATTTCCCCCAAAAATTATGTATTTAGTTTAGGATAATTTTTGTAATAACCTGTAAAAGGAGGTAAAATAATTCTCTGAACAATTATTTTCACACAAATAACTAATTTAATTTAAATTGTATCTGCTTGGCCTAGTGAGATGTATATGAGAAAAGTTGACGAAAGTTCAAAGAAAACATGCAAAACTGTCCATTCTTTGAAATTAATTCCTACTCCATTCTTAAGTGTCCTATAGATTTCAATTGATTCCAAGTATTTATAAACATGAAAACATTAGTAAATATTTCTTAATTTCAAGTGTGCTGGTATTGGTATGTTGTGTATATGATAAATTTAATTTGATATTGGAAATTGTATGATATTATTATTTGATTATGTGTATTTAAATGATTAATGACTAATAAATGATATTAAAATTTGTAGGTGATACACAATGGGAAAGTACTGCAATTGAAGAAAATCAAGACTCGGTGACTATACATGGATTAGAATTAGGATCTTTATATGAATTAAAAGTAATTGCTGTAGATGGAGGCTTTCAAACTGCTAGCAAAATAGAAGAAATTGAAACTGGAGGACTTGGTAAATTTTATTTAAAATACTTCTGAATAGAATATGTATAGATATACTAATAATATAGATTTTCATTATTATGAATATTAATGATTTTATAATAGGATAAACAGGAAATTTTATTTTAATGGATGAAACAAAATCAGCTTCCAATTTCTGCCAAGAAAATTGGAATTGATGTATTGATGAAGCTTCTAATATCACTGTTTAAGAATTATATTGTTAGAAACTTTAAAGAAATTGCATTTTTTATATGAATAAATGTATTTTTTATATTCATCTATAATTAAGGAGAATTATAATTATTTTGTCAACATATTTTATCCATATTATTTAATAACAATAAACTAAAATAAATATCTTAATAGCACCTGATGTTCCTGACTTGGTCTGGTCTCGGTTGCCTGATGTTGGAGGAAAAGCAGGCATTCGAGTTACATGGGTTCCTGCAGTAGATGGTCATCCTGGAAGTCACTTTTTTGTTCAGTATAAGAAGAAAGGTATATTTTCAATTTAAACTATAATGATTATATAAGAACATTTTCTGAATTAAATAAATATTTCCATCTTTTATAAAACAAGTAATAGTTTGATTTCATTAAAAGTTAATGTAACATTGTTTGATCATTTTTTAAATGAAAAATATGATAGTTATTTTTAGAAGAAAATATTATATATTTTACAGGATTATTGTGAAGTTTATTATTTGCTAAATTATAGTCTAGATGAATTATGAATAATGATAGTATTTATAATTTCATTTGAGCTGTTGTTCATTAAGTTAGACAAAATATTAGCAGCTTCCTAATTTAAATTTTCAGGTGCCATCAAATGTGCTAATGATGTATAAACAGTATTATGAATAATACAAAATTTTCCTGTGTAGATGAATGGCCTTGGATCCCTGAAAAATGAGAAAATTCATCTGTTTTGCATTTTGTTTTAAATTTTAAATTTGAAGTTTTGTTTTTTTGTTTTTTTTGTCTTTTTTTTTAATTTTCAGTTCTGAAAGAATATTTTATAAGATTTGTCAATTTAATTAATAAACAAACTGATACAAATGAAGAAGACAAATTCAAATAATCCAATCATGGCTTAAAAATTTATAATATAAATTTTTTCTTTTGTATTTTTAATCTTGAAGATCATTTACATATGAATATTTATGCTTAATAAGTAATAAGTGAAATTTAAATATTACAGTAATTAAACTATTATAGTAAGAAAAACATTAAAATCCAGCAATGTTTTATTATGAGAAAACATTTTTTGCAACCATTAGATTCTAGAAATGGAATGAATGAATGAAAATGACAAAAATATTTGTTCTTAATAAAATATTATTGAATTTTGTTGTTATAGCTATTATGTATGTCTAGTTAACAGTTATTATTTTTATTAATTACATTACTGTATACATTTTCTATGGTTTCTTTTAAAATTTTAGTATTTTTTAAATAATTCAACTTAATTTTCTAAATTATCATTTAAAAGTTTCACACATCAAATTAATAAGTATATTTTATTTTTTAAACCTAAAAAATTATCATTGAATGTAGTTTTTGTTTACAGCTAAAACTATTAATAGGTTTTATAATTTATTAATGCTATAATTTACATATAGTTATTGTTTATTGACAGTTATGAAAAACTTTAATCAACAACTCTCTAGAATACATACATAACATACCAATATGAGTACATTTGAAATTAAGAAATATTTACTAACATTTTCATCCATTCAGATGTATAACACAGAACAAAATTGGCTACATTAAAATCGAACATGTTTTTATGAATGATTTACAAGTTCAATTTAAAATTATTTCTGGAACAAAGTATGTCTACAGTTTAAAATTATTTTTAATATTCATTATAAAATGATTTAAAATTATTTTCCAAACAAATTACATATTTAGTTTTAAAATATTTTTGAATAACTTACAAAATGCATTTAAATTATTTCCCCCAAAAATTATGTATTTAGTTTAGGATAATTTTTGTAATAACCTGTAAAAGGAGGTAAAATAATTCTCTGAACAATTATTTTCACACAAATAACTAATTTAATTTAAATTGTATCTGCTTGGCCTAGTGAGATGTATATGAGAAAAGTTGACGAAAGTTCAAAGAAAACATGCAAAACTGTCCATTCTTTGAAATTAATTCCTACTCCATTCTTAAGTGTCCTATAGATTTCAATTGATTCCAAGTATTTATAAACATGAAAACATTAGTAAATATTTCTTAATTTCAAGTGTGCTGGTATTGGTATGTTGTGTATATGATAAATTTAATTTGATATTGGAAATTGTATGATATTATTATTTGATTATGTGTATTTAAATGATTAATGACTAATAAATGATATTAAAATTTGTAGGTGATACACAATGGGAAAGTACTGCAATTGAAGAAAATCAAGACTCGGTGACTATACATGGATTAGAATTAGGATCTTTATATGAATTAAAAGTAATTGCTGTAGATGGAGGCTTTCAAACTGCTAGCAAAATAGAAGAAATTGAAACTGGAGGACTTGGTAAATTTTATTTAAAATACTTCTGAATAGAATATGTATAGATATACTAATAATATAGATTTTCATTATTATGAATATTAATGATTTTATAATAGGATAAACAGGAAATTTTATTTTAATGGATGAAACAAAATCAGCTTCCAATTTCTGCCAAGAAAATTGGAATTGATGTATTGATGAAGCTTCTAATATCACTGTTTAAGAATTATATTGTTAGAAACTTTAAAGAAATTGCATTTTTTATATGAATAAATGTATTTTTTATATTCATCTATAATTAAGGAGAATTATAATTATTTTGTCAACATATTTTATCCATTTTTTTGTAATAATCTGAATAATATACTGCAAAAGTTATCACTAAAATTTATTTTTATATTGTAATAAATAATAAATTGACAACTTTTTATTAATTTCATTATAAAAAGTATATAGCAATAGTTATACATAATATTCATTTTTTTGGAAATAATTTAGAACTGTATTATGTAAATTTTATAAAATATACTGGTAGTGTGAATGAAGTTATAGAAATGAAATCATAACAGTTCTATATGAATATTGTATTATGCCATTTTATTATAATTATTCCAAATCATGAAGAAAGATTTGAGAACAAAATTATTTTAATATGAAAATTTTATGACTAAAACTGATTTTATTTTAGTAATATTTAACATTTTAAGTAAAATAAAAATTCAAGTATGTAATTTCAACAGTTTCCATACTTTTAAAATTGACATCAGGTTAACAGAATTTGGTTTTTAATGAAGTTTTGTTTTTCCTGTCATTTCTAGCCATAACATAACATAAAATAAAAAATGCTTATTTTCTTCTATTTAATGCAAAAATTTATTTGAAGAACTATGATATGCATATTTTTGTTGTGTAATATTCTGCATTTTCATTAAGGCAAAATAGAATATATATTGTGCTGATTCAAAAAATAAAACTAATGCCATTTTTTTTTTTACAAGAAAGCTATGAAATATTACAGTACTGGACGAAATATCTGGCAAGCTTAGAACTGGAAGTGGTCTAGATTTCTAGATTTTCTGGACATAGGCTAAATATATACTTAAAATTTAATAAAGAATGGAAAGTAAATAATGAAACTGTTTTTAACACACCATATATCAGCAGTCACACTGGAAATGGTATCATGCAATATATACATCATGAAAATCAAAACATAATGGCCATGTGGCAAACTACATAAAACTACAGCTGTACTATATAGCTTGTCAAATTCAAAACTTGCCAGTTTAAAAAAAAAAAAAAAAATGCCAGTTATCTGGTAATTCTGGATTTCTGGAAGCTAGATATTTGATCCAGTACTATATATGACAGTTATTTGTCTTTTTACTGATGAAATTCTATGAGGATTTTTAAATTTTATATTTTTAAATCATTATATGTAAATTTAGGATATTATTGAATTTCACGTGAATCTGCTTTACTGTTATTCCAAATTGTATGAAAAAAATTTTTAAAAAGTATCATTATTTAAAAAAAATAAAATAAAATAAAAGCTCTCCCAGGTTAGATTTTTGCTGTGAGAATTAGGCAAAATTTTCACTCAACATAAAGAGTAATATTTATAAATTATTTTAAATTCTTTTCAGTCTACATGAATTTAAAATATTTTTTTGCTTATCTGTCAAGAGTTTGACCAAATGTTAAGGAATGGAATTTGACATATTTAAGTCAAACCAGTCAGGAAAATTATTGTAGAAGATTGATGCATTTATTGTCCTGATTAGCTAGCCATCTAGCTAGTGATAGTAAATAAACAAGCTACCTTTTTTACTTTATGGCAATCTGGAAAAAAATGACCTCCCAGAATTTTACATTTTTGGGCTCAGGACACCTTGAAACATTGAGAAATGCAAAACAATTCAGGGGTAATTTCTGTATGTATGGATGTTAGTGTGTGAGGGGTGCACGATTTTGTTCACCATGTTTGAAGCTTAATACTCCTGTGCTTTTTGTTGAAAATTTTTGAAATTTTGCATGGAGGTTTGTTTATTAGGGGGTTTATGCTATTAAATTTTGATGATTAAAGGTCGAAGGAATGGGGAGATAGTAAGGATTGTGTGTATCTCCAGTAGGGTCGGACTTAATGATGATTTTACTCGTTATTAGCATTTAACTATTATAAAATGGCAAAAGGCTTAATTTTGAGAGTAGGGATGTGTTTTATAAAAAATTGTAAAAGTATAAAAAATTTTAAAAATAAAATGTGATAACAAATGGTACCACCAAAATTTAAAAAATGTTACCATGAAAGTTGAGCAATTCATTGCTTGTTTTTTTTATTATTTATTTTTATCATCATTATTATATTATAATTATGAAATAGAAAATAATTAAATTCATGTCATACTCAACAGAAAATATACAAATACATTACATATTTTTTTTTAATGTTTAAAAGTAATAACATTTCAGACAAATAAAAGAAAAACTTGGTGGTTATTCCATGTATTTTCTCTACTAATATAAAAACAAGTAAAATTTTAATAGGTGTTGATCTTTTATTTTTGACTATTCAACAAAAGTACTTATAAATCTTTTGTAATTAGAGTACTTCTAAAATATAGCCATAACTTTCTAGAGAATATGTTAATTAAAAAATAATAATGTTTCATTTATATAATAATTCAAATAATAATAATTCATTTATATGAAATTTTGCTCATGATCATCATGAGCAAAATTTCATATAAATGAATATTTGATAATACTTGACATCTTTAAATATAAAAAAAAATCCCTTTAAATGGTTTATTAAACAGTTAGAAATATTTTTAGATGGCAAATTAGAATTCAATTTGTGAACCAATTTAAAAATTGTGCAAAGAAGCAAATAAGACTATATTGAAATATAATGCTAAATTTTTTTGACATTTTTTTTATCGATTTAATAAAAATAGTGTTTATATTATAATTATTTTAGCTTTTTATGAAAAATTTTTAAATTATAAAACTTAGTTTTCCTAAAGTTTATTTGAAAGATTTTACTTCATTTTTAATACATTTATTGGTTGAAAAATTTAAAATATATAACAAATATAATAATTAATATTTTCATATTCTTATAAAATTAATTTTAGATGTTTTCCTAGTTTTTGACATTTACATTTAGCAAACATAGTTGATATATCTATTTTATTTGAATAATCTGCAATGGCTTTAAAACTGGCTAAAAGCTTTAGCTTCTCTATTCACATAACTAGGAATAAATTAGTATATTTATTAAATCAATATGACATTTGAAAAATAATTATTAATAGGGAGTGATAATTTAATATGCATTTTGTGTAAAATCCTACAGGAATTTACTTTGAACATAAGAATTCGAAAGACAAATTAGATTGGGAAAGATGGTATTGTGGGATCTGCGAATATCTGAGGTATGATATCCGCAGAGGTGAATGAGAAATGATTGCCACAAAAAGGAGGAGACCAGTACTATATATTACTTAACAAACTTTATGCACCAAATATATATTTATAATCGAATCACAATACGATAGGTCGGCTTAAGCCTGGCACGTGGCGGCTTACACAAAGCACAAAGGGTCTACACAAGACAATCGAAGGACACACCTTCACTGTTGCACGCCAGGAACCAGAATGAATGGTTTCTGGTTCCCCACTATATATAACTCCTCCACCAATGTCACCGTGCTGCCACACAAAAATCGCCCAAAACACAAATAAAACCGCGCGTACAGCAATCGCGACGATCGTTTACATTAATTACATTAATAAAATATATACATATATACACAAAGATGATTATAGGTAAAAGAAAAAACAAATTTTTTTTTTTTTTTTTACAACAGAGACCGACAATATACACGCGGATGACACAGTATATATTTTAAAAATTTTACTTTAATAAAAATTATCACATAATTAAAAGTTCAATTTGATTTTTATTTTTTTTTTTTTATTTACAGGAAGATCTTAAAATATATTTTTGGTGAAGAATAAAAATAAAAAATATATATAATTTGATTTAAAAAGTTACTAAATAAAATTTTAAAAAAGAATTTTAAACCTTAAAATCTTTATTTAGAAAAATATATATAATGACAAATATTTACTGCATTTTATAATTTTTATATTAATTGTATATTCTTTGTTATGATGTAAAATTTATTTTTTATTGCTTTTTTAAAGTCATACATTTAATTGTTGCTTATTTGCATATATGTTAATAAGTATTTTTTTTTATGCCAGTTTAAAAATATGGCTTATATATAATTATCACTTATACCACATTAGTAAAGAACTAAAAGTTTTATATTTTAATCATCAATATTTGATAATTTAAAACAGGAACAACAACTCAAATTTATCAGGAATGTTAAGAAATTTTCATTTTTATAAAATGAAGAAATGAAGTCTATTTCAAGATCACATTATCATTAATGGAAATATATTTTTAATTAATATATAAATTTATTATTATTAGTCTCATAAAATACAGTCAACTCTTGATTATCTAGAAATGGAAATTAATTAATTGAATTATTTCAATTATTTTACATCTATTTAATTTAATTACATTTAAAATAATAAATGTTATTTACAATTCACATTTTGTATAAAGATCCAAACAAATATTTCTTATATTGAATTTGATAAAAATTTAAGATGGTAACAAATTCTAATATATCTACTTTGTAAATATTCATAATTTAGATTGTAAATCTTATTAGTACATTTTTAATAGAGAATATCAAATATCAAAAATCAGTTAATTGTGAGATATTTTAATATTATCGTTTTATGGATTGTTAAAACTGATTTGAGATAACATTTGTTATTCATGATTCAGTTGCTTCATTAGAAATGATTAAATTACAAATAACAACATGCAGTAGTTATAAACAAGTTTTAATTATTGTTAAAATGTAGCTCTGTTAACTGTGTATGGCTATATGACAATGATAGTTTGTGTTGTCCACACTTTATTTGCAACATTT